GTCCTTAGTCTCATGCCAATTTAGATAAAATGACACAGACACATGTGGAGTGGTTTTAAGGAGCAGAGAGTTTAATAGGCAAGAAAGAGGAAGGAAGAAGAAAACAGCTCCCCCTATACAGAGACAGAGGGGGCATTCAAACAAAGAAAATCCCCAAGTGCAGCAGAAAGTGGCTGCTTATATGAGGAGGCTGGAGGAGGTGGTGTCTGATTTGCATAGGGCTCAGGGGATTGGTTTGACCAGGCATGTCGTTCATGTAGTCCACAAAAAAAAATGACCCTCCCATCCTAGCCTTTTATTATGCAAATGCAGGGCACCATGATGTTCTAACACGTGGGGATATGGGGGGGTGGCCATGTTGCCAGGCACATGTGGAGGCAAGGGCAAGAAGAAGATGGTGGGAATCGTCATGTTTGGGTGGACCCAGTTTTTAATGGCCAGCATTTGCATATCAAAGCTTGCTGGCCCAGCTTTAAGAGCTGGGGCTTCCTGCTAGACAAAAAACATTTCTGGAGCTACTTTAAAAGAAACAAAAACTTTCCAAGGACGCCTTTTTCTCTCTATCTGCCTAAAATGATTTCTTAATAACTCCTATAACATTCCCCACTGTGGAGATGTCACCCCAACTGCTGTTAGGTGGTTTTGGGCAATGACTCTTTCTGACTACTTCCTGCTTGAAAAGGGGCATCAAATGGGGAACAGCAGCCAGGGCTCCTCCTGGGGTCAGTTTGAGGGTCCTCAGAAGAATGGCATGTCCATGCATAGTTCCATTAGCAGCACCAGTTGGAGTTTGATTGCTTCTAGGCTAGAGGAAACAATTTGAGCTATAGTATTGAGTATACAGGGTCCAAATATTAATACAAGACATATAAGCAAGAGAGTGCTTAATAAAGGGGTTAATCAATTCCATAAAGAAGACTGGAATTCATTAAAGAGGGATTGCAGCCACCCGAGGCTGAAGCCTGCATTTTCCCTGAGCCTGTCAATAATTTTGATTTGATCTTCAAGTACCTGTAGATTTTCCTCTACTTTAATAGAGGTGTTAATCCAGCAGCAGCATGTTTCATTTAAAAGTGCACAGGTACCTCCTACTTCAGCTGTAAGGACATCTAAGGCCCATCTATTCCATGCTACTACTGAGGCTAAAGAGTCTATGGGTAGTGTGCTTCTATGGCTCCTACTGTTGCCTTCCATCCTTGTTGCATCATAATGGCAAGGAGAGGAATACCAGCAAACCAGAAGAGACTTTTGGTTATAGAATTCCCTATTCATGGTCTGAGATGGGATTGTCATGTGCATGCCCTCTCCAATCTTCTCTTTCAGTTAAATCTCCATATGAGGGCATGAAAATGATAGATCTCTTTGTTCGGCATGTCTGAGGTAGTACACTTTCTAAAAAGGAGCCTGGGTTAGGGATGTCTCCAGATGATGTGGCCATGTCACAGGAATTTAAAAATAAGTTGGAGAACATTGCTGCTATAGTGCGGTTCCTTAGTGTTATTGAACTGAGCAAACTGCTCAGGACAGATCCAGCAATTAGTCTTATTACAAATGGGCCATGGCTGATATTGTAGGAGCTAAAAGGTATGATGTATCACTAAACCCAATAAAAAGTCCTAGCAGACTCAGTTGGAGAATTTCCCTTTGGAGGTCTATGAAGTTCTTTGGTTTTATTTTCCCAAACAAAGAAACCTCTGGGTTATGGGCACCCTATTCACTTTCATTACCTGGCAGAATTTGCAGGATAATTGCCCAGAACTAGCATATTGATCCACATTTTTACATTACCCATCCCTTTTTGTTCCTTCCAAGCTGCAGGAGATTGCCACTTGATTCACAGGAATAAGCAGTGTTAGTCTAAAATGTAGTCAAAAAGCTAAAAAAAAAAAATTAATGAGACTAGGATTTAATGACAAATGTATGGTAAGCTTTGGAGCACAATTTCTCTCTCCAGTCCTCATTTTTGGTAAAAACAAATTATGATAAGACTGTGTGTGTTGTTTGTAGAATAAACTTTAGTCTTATACTTGGCCTGATTATTTGCATAAAATGCAGCAAAGCAAGAATGGTTATTTCTACATAGGCCTTTTAGATTGACCTTGATGGAACTCTGTTCCACAAGGAATCTCAGGTAAGACCTTTAAAGCCAAGCTCAGCCATGGGTTTGTATTCTCAAATACCTGTGAGTTAAGTGATCCTCTCCTCTTGAGGTCCTAAGATAAACTTGGAGCTCCTGGACTTGTTAGAAAGTGACATTCTTTACTGACCACAGGTTAAGAACACTGTGTGGGGACTATGTAGACAGTGTATGAGGCCACTTTTCTCCAAGGGGCTCTTATTGGCTCTGCATGTCAAGCTTGATTCCTTAAAGGGAAACACACCCTTTTAGTCAAAGCCTTGGTAAAATAACCAGATTTTCCAATTATGTCCTGTTGAAAAAGAAAAATGGATTCTTATTGCACTCACTGATGCAAACAACTATATTGCCATAAGCTAAGAGTACTCACAGTTTCCGAATTCTAGAGGAACCAGGCAGAGAAAAACAAACATGCTTGAAATTTTGTTCACAGGAATATACCTTATTCAATTATTAAAGGTAGTAAATAGTTCAAAATAAGTTTCCTTGACTCTGAAAATCAAAACAAGGATCAGCAGTATTCCAAGCAAAAGTCAAAAAGGTTGCTTTAAGTTTCTAAGTGCAGTCTATTTAGTTAACTCTTGTTTTGCTCGATATTTGTGAACGTGTCAGTTCTTTATGAGTCCTGTACATTCTTTCTCTCTTCCAATGTTACAATCTTTAAGGATATTAAAAACCTGCATTTGAGAACACCTGTTGAAGTCCTTAATATAACTTGAATATAAACTGTAAAATACCATATAATATCCTTTTTGAGTCTAATGTTTACAGATTTTGCAAGATTAATATTTTCAATCTTTCTATAACTTGTTTAAACCTCTAGCTCTATCTTATCAAATTTAACATAATCCCTCATCCCAGGGCAAAATTTACATTTATCTGCTTTCTTATAATCTTTTACTGAAAAAAAAAAAACCCCACATTTTACTGTTTTTATATGCCTTGCATATAAAACTGTTTGGTGATCTCAAATACATGTTGCACTGTTAACTTTTAACAACTTCTCATTTTGGTGAAAAAACCTGGTTGGTAAGTGATTTTAATTATGTACCAGGTGTGCATCCTAGGACCCAGACAGAAGTGCAGATAAAGTCTGACTTTTCAACATCTAGCTCCATGTGTCCCAGGCCTTACTTATCTGTAAAGCAGGCAGTGTACAACCTTGAAACATTTAGCAAACCTAGTATCTAAGTTGTATGATTTACACCACCTTTTTGCATTTTGATGGCACTTTCATTTTACCAGTAATCCTTAAGACTATTTTTATTTCTTAAAGTCATGTGAACTGAAAAGCATTTGATTTAAGGCACTTATTTTTCTTTCTTTCTTTTTTTTTTTTATTATACTTTAAGTTCTAGGGTACATGTGCATAACGTGCAGGTTTGTTACATATGTATACTTGTGCCATGTTGGGGTGCTGCACCCATCAACTCGTCAGCACCCAAACTGGTGGAGGTGCCGGGGTATTTTTCTTTAAGCCAATCAATTAGAGCTCTTTTTATAGACATTACACACAACACATATACAGCAACATGAACAGACAAAAGATTCAGTACTTGTAAGATTTTTTTTTTGCCAGTTTCTTTCTTTTTTTTTTTTTTAAACCTCTGCAATTATTAGTTTATTAGTATCATCCAGGTCTCAGATGTTCAGTATTCCTCCTGAAATTACATAAACAAATGCAAATGGAAAGAATCCAAGTCAAAATTATATAACAAAACAGCATTCCATCACAAAAGCGTGTAAAATTACAAGAATGCTATTTTAAAATACTGACACTTTAAGAAAACGATAATCTCAAAAACCACAAAATTCCCAAATTGTTCCCTAAACTGCTAAGCAGATAATGACTAATGAATGAGTTTGTTTTGTAAAGAAAAATCATTCAAATAAATTGAATAATTCATACTGAGATGCAAAGTTTCAGTGTCTTCTTTCCTCCTATCTACTTGGATTTATAAAGGGGCAAACCATAATATAGGAAAATATACCCTATTTGGATGTGGCATCTTCATTTTAAAAGCTGGCCCAATTAATTAAAAATTCTTGTAATGGAAAGTCTCGTTTCCTGAGCAGTCCATATTTAGATAAATGGGAAAAGACATCTATAGCCAGCATTTTCATAGTCTTCACTGAGACTAATGTCAACAAAATATTTAATATGGCAGTCTTGTATTTTAAGCTCACACTTTTGGGGATACATTCTCAGGTCGTCTTGGGAACTGCAAAATATAACTGCCATTACATGGTAATGGGAGTTAAAGAATAGAATCCTCATATAAATGTTAGAACATACTTTTCTATTAGTCCTTCAAGGACAGACTTTAAAAATGTTTGATTCTAATAATCCCATGCTTTGAGTAGATTGATTACTCTTCAGTTTGTAAATGTAAGTGGGCTATGTGAAATTTCTTAACTGATCAAGATTCTGGATGTTCAGTTATGGATGAAAACTATCTCAACTTAACTTTACCCCATTATGGTATGCAGGGTGTGTAGACAAAAGCTTTTTATTAGCTAACTATATGAA